TACCACTACTAGCTATGGTCGAGTCACAATGGGACTGTTGCACTAAGAGCTGTCATAATGCTCATAGCACGATGTTGCTATTATCCACTACTGCAATGGTCCATCACATGGACTGTTGCACTAAGAGCTGTCATAATGCTCATAGCAGATATTGCTATTATGCCCTACTGCAATGGCCATCACATGGACTGTTGCACTAAGAGCTGTCATAATGCTCATAGCAGATGTTGCTATTATACCATACTGCAGTGGCCATCACATGGACTGTTGCACTAAGAGCTGTCATAATGCTCATAGCAGATGTTGCTATTATACCATACTGCAGTGGCCATCACATGGACTGTTGCACTAAGAGCTGTCATAATGCTCATAGCAGATGTTGCTATTATACCATACTGCAGTGGCCATCACATGGACTGTTGCACTAAGAGCTGTCATAATGCTCATAGCAGATATTGCTATTATGCCCTACTGCAGTGGCCATCACATGGACTGTTGCACTAAGAGCTGTCATAATGCTCATAGCAGATGTTGCTATTATACCATACTGCAGTGGCCATCACATGGGCTGTTGCACTAAGAGCTGTCATAATGCTCATAGCAGATATTGCTATTATGCCCTACTGCAGTGGCCATCGCAACTTCAGGATCAGCATGCGGTATGAAGTAAATTCCAGTGAGAATGAACTCGTAGGGGTCTGAGAGTTTAGTCTCTTGAAAGAGTATGATGTCATGAAATTTGGAAAGCTTTTCAAGGCAGTATACTTTTCCCTTGATACTCCTGATATAGTAGTAACCTGTCACAATGTGAGATTAGCAGTGTCTGGTGCACTATTTACCAGCTCAGTGTTTAGGCCTTAGTTTCCCTTTTGCTCTTCTGCTAAACAGTAAAAGTTTCATTTCTCCCATAGATACCCATTATAGTGCAATGTTTTCACGTATTAGTGTTTATAGGCAATACATTAAATATTCACTGTTCTCAGCCTTTTCCACTCTTAAATTTCAAGTACATAACAGTGGGCCAGTAGCCTATTACAGTGGGGCTTCTATTCTTGTGGTAATTGCAAAGGAATAAACATATTACCCACTATCAAGAAGCCTCCCCAGTATAGGATGCTATGTTGATAATCCCTGCTTATATTAATTAGAAATATTCATGTTATTTCCATCCTCTAGAAACAGAACTTGGTAAAGTTTCCTCTCCACTAAATAATCTATGAATCTTCCCAGCATGTGGGACACTACCATGTATATCTTGCAGATCTTAGTTGTGTTAGCTGTTGATGCCATTGCTCTAATGTTGTACACAGCTAGGCTGAGTATGCTCCAGACTGTTAACATTAGGACCTGGCTTACCAATAGATTAGTCCGTGTCTCAGACGTGATGCTTTAAGCATGTAGCAAAACTAAACTAAGCTAACTGTAACATTAGATAAGCCTGTTGACAGTTTAAATACTATTGAAAATATACACTAAATATTTTGAACAGAATAAGATGTCCATTGATCTACACATCAGACATTCTGGACATAACGTACTTTCCACAGATGTAGTCAGTATCACGATGTCAAAACATTGCTACTTTATTATGAACAAGTCATCCATACCCAGCCTGAACAGAAGGCCAATATTTAGCTATTTTTAAACAGAAAAGATCAAAATTTTGCTTTTTATGTAACAATACATGTCAGATGCATAAAGGTACTAATACTGAAAAGAAAGACATACTTTTTTCAAGCATTCTATGAATATGAAATTGGTGTGAACAAACGTTTAAATATAATCATTTTCACCAATGATATGAATTCTAACACTTTTATGCGTGTTTTTTAACTGTTGTTACAAAACTGTAATTGTTTTACATTATTGGTGGAAATGATAATACGAATTTTAATACTTTTATGCGTGGTTTCTTTTAAAAAATATAAAACAGTAACAGTTTTGTAACATTAGGTTTTTTAAAAATTTTGAACAGAATAAAACCTAAACTGTTGTTCATCCCTCTATTTAATTAGTATAATCAATGAGTCTCAGCTAGCCAAACTACTCATCTTACTTTGCAACTTAAAATCAAATAGAAACTTACACAAACACAATATTATCTATGTGGTTTCAATGTAAACTTAAACATATAATTTTACAATGTATTATTTCAAGTATGTAAAAATCTTTTATTTTTTCTCTACATAATACTTATAATTGTATTTTTATTATCTTTATTATATTGAAGCAATTGGATTATATTCTATATTCATCATAATTCTATATATTTAATAACTTTAATACCAGGTGTCAGTTATTATTATGATTGTTGCCTAGATACCTATTTTAAACTGGAGTTTCACAATTGACGAATTTTTATCGCACAGTACATTGTTGCCTGATGAAAACCCAGTAAGTACGTAAATAAAAGTATTTTAACTTAGATAAAAGTCTGTGTATAATTCTACATATTAATTAACCTACATTATGAGTCTTTAACAACACTTATTAGGGCTAGTTAAGCATGATGGAAAATATTTCTTACCTCTGGTGATACTGTTCCCGATTAAGCATTTCCTCTCCTGTCACTTTTTGTAAAATGATTGAAAAAGGTTGTGCAGCATTTTTATCTCCTTGAAATCTTTTTTAATAAAGGTGGTTATTACTTGTGCAGCAAAAAAAAAATATCTTATTTCAAATTTGTGTTTTCACTGCATGGGTAATAATGACTTTTATTTAAAAAAATTTTGTATCAATTTGAAAATCAGAAATATAAACAAACAAACATTTAAATATAATCATTTCCATCAATAATTAACTGTAACACTTTTATATGTGTTTTTTTTTAACCTGTTGTTACAAAACTGTTATTATTAAACACTTATTCCCTAACAATTTGTTGTACCAAGCGACAGATGGCAGCATATACTTCTTCTTTTTATGGCTTAAGGGCTATAGGCCAAAAAAATTGGCCATACTTTTTTTGAGAAAAAAAATGATACCCGAGTGCACACCCTCAGAATTCTCTTAGTATGTGTGCAAAGTTTCAGGTCTCTAGGTTGTTTCCTCCTGGAGCTATGGTGCTGACTGACTAACACATACACAGGCTGTTTTGTTATTATAGACTGAATATTTTTCCTAGTTTATAAGCATTCTTCTATGTTTGGGCTTAAAAGGGCACCAACAATCATTTTTTTCATTAGGAATCAAACAATTCTACTGATTTTAGTGCAACTTTTATATTTATTATAAAATATAAAATATATTTTCTTCAAATGTTTTGACAAAATGTGATATATTTTGAACTTTATAAAATTCCAATACATTCAGTATTTAGCCTAAAATTGCTTTATTAACACTGAAAACAACTAACTTGTAGTTTAGGTTCTAGTTTGTTTGAAACATTCAAATTAAAGTTGTGGCTGTCTGTGACCTAATGGTTAACATGTTAAGCCATGAATCAGAAGCTTAATGATTTGATCCTGTTATGTGTCAAAAAACATCAGCTACACTTTCAGGTGTGGGCATGTTATAAAAATGATGGTCGATCCTATGATTGGTTAAGAGCAGCTACGTAGGCAGCAGGTGCTGGTGACTGATTTCCATCCTTCTGGTCAGCAATTCTAAATTACTGGAGTCTCTGACCTGGTTATTTAGACCATGTTTTTTATAAAACATTAAGGTAAAGTTAATGATAGAATTTATAATCAAACAGTCATTAAAACAACTTTATTAGAGGAGTACTTTAGCAGTAAAAGCTTTAAATATACGATATGATTTTGAATAGTATGTAATAATTACATTGGTCTTCATATTTCTACTTTCATTTGTAAGTTTGTTAATGCATGCCCTGGTTTTATACACTGTACAGCCCACCTATATGGGTGTATTTAGTGACAGTGATATTCATATTCATTCTGTTTTTTTATATATATATTAGGAAACTGTGCAAAATATCTTGCTCTACAAAGCACCATCTATACAGAAATCAGATTTGGGGTTTGAAAAATGGAATACTTTACCTCAGGAAAGACAGGAGCATCTTAACAAGGTCACTAGGAGGTAATTGACAAGGATAAACAGGAAGATATAACATGTAAATATTCTATGACATCAGTTATCACATGCACAGTTGTGGAATTAAATACTTTTAATAGACTATAGTGGTGATTATCATTTTATGACAAATTTTGCAGTATCTTCCCATCATTGCTGCTAAACTTCAAAATGTGAAATAAACTTTGAATACAGACTAAACTACCTAAAAATTCAATTATTACATTTACAATTTATGTGGTATTCAGGTTGGAAAACTTTTTGAGGTATCAGAGCAACTGTGTAGTTTGGGCTGATGATTTATGACGTATGCAACAACAGGCTTGTTTTATATGTATTTAATCAGTTTCCAAACAAATCATATTCTTTTCATTTTGATCAAAAATATGTCTAAAATTGATGTAATATTTATTTACATTTAGTATGGGAATGAACAGCACACTAGGTATGAAATTCTGCTCGTACTCACTGGTACTGAGTACCGGAAGTTATTTTTTAAGGCAGTACTAGTACTGGGACTTATGTAACTGCTTTGTCGTTTTTATGTTTATACATAGATTGGCATTTCAGGAACTTTATTGGAGTGTTTGAAACAAAGTAAACACTTCAATGTAAGTAACAAAGTAAACACATCAAAGTAAATGTTTTCTGTAATGTTATAATGATTAAACTGTATCAGAGAAATATACTAATAACTGTTCATCAATCTACTGAAAAGTTCTTTCCCACTACCAGAAGAAATATATATATATATAATGGAAATAAAATAGTATTTGCAGTACCAAGTAGCTTGTGGAGTTTGAGAATTTGAAAAGGTTTTGTCAGAAGAAAATTTAAATTGACACATAAGAGAAATCCATAATGTGCATGTCATGTAAGTTAAAAGTACAACATTGAAAACATCAAGAAATTAAACATGTATCTTTTTTTTACTCTTCTCGGCGAAAACTGAAATGAGCATTATGAAAAAATATACACTTCACAAAGACATGTTACCACCAAAAGAGTAAAGAGCACATGACAAATGAGGGAAGTGAAAGAACATTAACCTTGTGAATTAAGGCCCATTGGCTTTTTTGGCTTAAGATGTTCTGATGAAGTACTTTTCTGTAGAATGATTTTTAAATGTGTTATTATATTCAACAAAAGGTTTAAACATTTCGATTCATGGCTGTTGAAATGAATACTGACAGATTTTGGCTTCTTATAGCTAGTATCAAACAAGTGCTATTTAATTGTAAGTATCACAGTGCTTGCAATTTCATGTATATGAAAGTCTCCACAGTTCAGAAAAGTACAGGTGATCAAATAAATAGCATTAATGGTTGACAAAAGTCATTGACTGTTGAAGTATTATGATCACATCATTTCTAATCTTAACGTCTGCAAACATATTTTAATATACTTATATACATTACATCAATGTAAGTCACAAGTCGGTAAACCTTTCTTCTGTTGTGACATAATTTGACACAAAAAGGACATACACAAGTCTATTACCCCAACTTGGCCACAAAATAATATGATCATTGGAGGAGTAGTGAATAGATTTGTAGTCTAAGGTCAGTAGATGAAGTGTTGTATATGAATACAAATGTCCTAAATATTTTTAGGTTATACTGAATCTTCCACCTGGTGGTTGACAGTATAATATGAGAACATGCATCTTTTTTCAAGCATCAAAAAGCAGAAGCTGAATCAATGTAATGAACCTATAAGTGGAGAACAATTTAAAATCATCGTAAAGGCAGATTGAACAGGAACTGTGTATAAAGAAGAATAAGTCTATTGGTTGGAAATTTTAATCGTCCTGTGTTTTTAATTATTTTGAAGGAGGTTTTGGTCAGTTAAGTTATTATTTATGATGTGTTAAATGGAGTAATTTACTTTGTAACAAAAATTAATTGAGGACTATAGTTATAGTTTGTACATTATTTTAGTTTTTTTTCTTCTTCACTGGTGGAAAAGCAATGAATATTTTAGAATTCAAGTAAGTAGCATTGCTTTAACATCTTTTAATGATTACAACTCTGGAAGTAAACCTACTATATAATTAAACAGGAATTTCAGACTATAAAATGTTTAAGAATAAATAAATATATAGTGATTGTAAAACCTGTTAAGGTAAAAGTGTCAATATTTTGAATAAAACTGATTACAATAATAAAGAAGTCTTACTTGATAGAACTAAAATTCAATAAGTTATATAAAGATCCATCTAAAACTCAAGATGGTAAATTACAGAATTATTTACTAAAACTAAAAAAAGTAAAATTTATTGGATGAAAAAATTAATATGAAATAAAACCATTTTATTCCTATTCTGGTATTAAGGTGGAGTCCCAACGATTCATTAAGATGGGTTCCTGCTAGATTGATAATGTTTGCCATTGGTACATATAATGATGACCCAGCAGAGTTTCTGGTTAAGTTGTTAGAATCATTAATGCTTGACAGTGAAAAGCTTGATCTAAGAACAAACAAATCAAAGTTGATATTCAAACTGCAACTAAACAGGTTTAACCAAATCTTTAGATGTTCCTAGATTGTATTTTTATTTTCCATTTCTGGCATGCATCCTTTTCCATTTAAAGTTCAAGATTAAACCTGATTACAGGATTTCTAGAGTGAAAAACTGGGACTTTCATATGGAGTGACATTTTAACAGTAAAATTACAATATTTTTTTTTTTTTTTTACCATTTGCTAAATAATTTGACCATATTATGTAGTTTAAAATAATAATTAATAAAACTTGCCTAAGTTGTCTTAAACCTTCTCAAAAGAAAGATATTCTTTCCTCGTGTTTGTTGTTGTTGTTTTCGAGGCTGGGCAGGTCTTCAAATCTTTAATTGAGTTGGTTGCCCAGTAACATATTAAGTTAAGAAAACGTAGCAGAGAGAGAGATGGAATACTGTTCTGTGTGATGTCTTTCAGGTTATTTCCCAAGTAAACTTTAAAGGAACTGTGTATAATGACAAACTGTACCCATCAAGCTTACATTGGGGTAGAGAAAAACTGGGGCAATTTAGTACTTTTACTGTTTTTGATCGGGACGGGTAAAAAAATAATCAAAATAGCATCCATAATATGTCAAACTACACCGTAACACCTTTAATATATTGGTTAAGTGCTAGATGCTGTGAAAAATAGTCACTCGCATCCGCTCGTAATATGAATTTTATGCTATCTTAAAATAGTTTCACATACAGTGGTTAAAGTTACTGGCATATACCGCCCCACTTCAACTACTGCATGTGAAACTATTGTCTTAACGATACGCATACTGGCATATACCGCCCCACTTCAACTACTGCATGTGAAACTATTGTCTTAACGATATGCCTACTGGCATATACCGCCCCTGCGTATCGTTAAGACAATAGTTTCACATGCAGTAGTTGAAGTGGGGTGGTATATGCCAGTAGGCATATCGTTAAGAAAAACAAAGGCAGTATGATATACTGGGAAAAGAAAGAAATAATATTATTATGTTGTACTCTGCAAAACACCCAATCCACACGTCTTTGGTTTTGCAGAAAATGCGTTTAGGTTCGTTTCTCTGCAATTATAGAGTTAGTGAGTTTCAACTCAGATCACTGCCCTTATATTCCGGAAGCATCATCCTTTCGTCCCCCCAACCATAGGTGCATACTCTAAACGCTGTTAATCTGTGAGAAATGTGACCTGACAATCTAATGGATGGTATGCCTCTAATATTGTGTAGAGTCTACTTTTAAGGCACCTCTCTCTCGTCAGAACGCCCCCCCCCTCCTCCCGTCCCCATTGTTATCGTAGTTTGATCATAATTTTTGTATTTGTTGAATTTAGGGTATATTACATTTTGTTAATTCCTATAATTAAGTAATATCTATAAAAACATAGTTTTCGAAACTTATAAACCAACAAAAATTTATCAATTTTAAGATTAAGTTATGTAGATCAAATATTATGCAGAGATTTGTTTACGACCTATGGTAATAATTTGCATATCCAGTCATCTTGGTCTGTCTGTCTCCCTGGCCTGTGACTACACAGGTTAGAAGCACATAGACGGTTGCTGCAATTCAATTGAGTATGGTGATTTTCGAGTGTAGATTGTGCCTTTACTCGACTCCTCACGTATAAAGACTTTCTGACGTGAAGCCCTTTTATTTATGATAAAAATAATAAGAAAATGATATCGCATTGTTGTGAATTGCATCGGTAAAGAAAGATAAACACAAACACTAAAGTTAAACTGATGGTTACTAGAACAAACCAAAAAAACCTCATCAATCCTACAGATATTTGTATAAAAACCGACACAAGAGCCGTACTCACAAGCTTGCTTCCCCCAAACCATATAACTGAACCATTAGAATGAAACAAGGACAAGATTAATGTGCCATTTTCACCGCAAAATACAAGAACAAACAAAAATTCATGATTTACCATTAGCAGACTTAAAAGTTAAAGATACATTTCCATTTGACATTCTTTGCCTTGGGTCGATCAAACAGGCCTTCAAAAGTCGTTGATGAACTTTGCCTTGGGCCGATCAAACAGGCCTTCAGAAGTCGTTGATGAACTTTGCCTTGGGTCGATCAAACAGGCCTTCAAAAGTCGTTGATGAACTTTGGGAAGCAGTTAATAAAGAGAAGAGGAACAACAACACATCTACTGAGAAAAATTTCCAGCAGTACCATCACCTAGAACATCATCAGAGAAAGAAGGGGGGTTTGTGAGGCCTAGGTGCTCATCATTTTAACGTCATTACAGATAATGAACACTCTTCTATGCAATCTACCTTTACTTGTAACTTATCATTACAACTCTTGTACTATATTTTAGGACAAAATATTTGGACCTACATGAACTAATTTTGTACTTTTTATTTTTTGCTTAGCAGATTTTTACCTTAGGTGTTGATAACAACTGAAGTGATTGTTTCTAGGTTGTTTTTGGTTGTATCCTTACTAATATAAGCTAAGAATAAACAAAGACCAACGGAGAGACATTCATGATGTGGGAATATTTATTGTATAATATAAACAGAGTTGAATTATGTATGGTGGAAGTTGAAACTAAGAACTTTAAAAAAAAATGACTTTATACGCAACGTAGATGCAAATTTAATACTGCCAATTATCAGTAGATATAACTGTATAGTATTGATGTCTAGTTATAACATAACATATCACAAAGGATCAAGAAATAGATAAATCCTAAACTCAACAATTTAGAAACAGTAATAGGTGTTATCCTCTCAAACAAGTGTATGCAACAATTTGTTTTATATTAATTAAACAAATAAAACTTGAGAATGTTTGACGACCGTTTTTTTGGCTTCAAAATCTCCAGAAACTAAACTTTAACAAGCGTCATCATATTACATGAAATCAGATTAGATGGGATGTGATGAGGTGCAATAGTTATTTGGAAATTTCCCTTGAGAATTCAAAACCCAATCAAGCCCTGTTTATACCTGCGTAGGAAGCATATTTGGAAATTTCCCTTGATAATTCAAAACCCAATCAAACTCTGTTTATACCTGCGTAGGAATCATATTTGGAAATTTCCCTTGAGAATTCAAAACCCAATCAAGCCCTGTTTATACCTGCGTAGGAATCATATTTGGAAATTTCCCTTGAGAATTCAAAACCCAATCAAACTCTGTTTATACCTGCGTCGAAAGCATATTTG